ATTTTGAGGGATGTAAACAATAACAATGGTTCTAATGTATTTCCTATTTTAGATTTTTAATTTTCATAGCTTACACATATAGATTAAAAGGGTCCACATATTGATTAAAAGTATTTGTATGACAGCTGTGTTAGCATTCATTTTGACTGGAGCGTCTCTTTTTGATGTTCTGAAATTGTTTGAAGACAAGCAGGAACTGTTCATGGACCAATGATATCGGCATATTGAAATGGTTGATTTGTATGACTACAATTGTTGATGCTCAGTCAATAAGGCATCTATGTATGTCCACAATAGCAAACAGTAAGGATTGGTTTAAGGCGGGGCTTCGCACACTCAATTAACCTTTAATCCAACTGATTTCTGTTGAGCTGCTTCAGAGCTCTATGTCAAGACTGAAGAACAAATCAACATTCAGTCAAACTGCAGACATGTTTATCAGACTCACAGCACAAATCTCCTCCTGTGCCGGCAGTCACACAGACCAGGCGTCTGTTGGCTGTTTTTTCTTTTTCCTTTTAATTGACGTTCAGTTTATTGAGCTGTCGACTGAGATGGTTTTGGAGCCGTTTTCATTCTCTGGGAAAAGGAGAATGACAAAACACCTGAAGTGTTTTTTTTTATTTATTTATTTTTTTACCAAAAATGAAAGAAAAGTGCAGCGCATGTTTGGACTCTGCCAGAGTTAATAAAAATTAAAAAAAGAGCAAAACAAAACTAGTGTTAAAATGTACTCGTCGATGTATTAGACGCAAAAATGTTAAGGTACACAAAGTATGTTTTTATTTGTACACTGAAATTAATGATGTTTCCAAATTGTTGCAAACAATTTATGTGTTGATTTTAAACAAACAAATTAAATGTAGTAATGCTAAACTTAATTTGCTTGTTTAACTTCAGCCCAAATTAATTGTTTACAACCACTTAACTTAATAAAGTTTTGTAAATCCATAGAATTTATTTCAGTGTATGGCAACAACAGGAAGTGTCGGAATGTTTTTTTTTTTTTTTTTTTTCCGTATGGAATATCAAATGTGATATTTTTAAAAATGTTTTAACTTTTAAATATTTTGAAACTATGGTAGCATCCTTTATTGTTTTGTCAACTAACATATTCGTTTTGTTGTATTTTGTAACTAAGGAAAAATATCTGCTGAAATCTATGACAAATAAAAGTTTTGGAGCCGTTTTCATACCATTTGTCAAGGAAAATGACAAGACACCTGAAGTGTTTTTAATTTAACCAAAAACGAAAGAAAAGTGCAGTGCATAAGTTTCAAAAAAGAGCAAAACATGAAGTCAACTAGTGCTAAAATGCAATACAAATGATCTTAAAGTTCCTTATTGTGTTGGCACTAAAAGCCTAGTGGTATTGTGCGCCGCATATAGCACTAATGTGCTCATGGCCACCCAAGCTCAATTCCTTGAGGTCTTTTGCAGATCCTTCCCTTCTCTCTGCTCCCAATGCTTTCCTGTCTAAAATCTCTACTGTCCTATCATAATAAAGGTGAAAATCCCCTAAAATAATAATAATAAAAATTGTTGGGAAAACTAGCTACAGCAGAAACAGCAGTGTTTTTGAGGCTTGGGTACAATGTCTGTTAGTAACGTCTGCAGAGATTTATGCAATGTAAAGACAAAAACAACTAAAATAAACTTGCTCCAACTTAACTGCTGATCCTTTGAACAACAGAGCTTAAAAAGCACAGACGATAGAGTAGAGGTCAATATAGAGAAAACACATTTACACATGTGCATACAGAGCTTTAGTCTTTCAGTATATAATCTTCTAAATCTTTCTTGCTTGAAAGGCCAGTGCGGTACAAATGATCTGGAAAACTGGTCAATGATAGACCAGTTCTGGGGGAAAAAACATAACTTCATATGTATTGCTGTAAATAAAAACAGGAACCACAACTTTTTTCCTCCGTCACAGTGTTTGCCTTTTGCACAACATCTAACTGCAACCTTTAAACATCATTTTGGGGATCAAATAAAAGCTATCCTCCCCTTTGTTGACTTTTTTTGTTTACCTCTTTGGTGTAGTGATGCTCAGACACACACACATTCTCTCTCACACACGCATGCGGCAAACACACTAATCCAAAGTGTCATTTATTTCCACTGGCTTGATCAATAATTGAAACCGATTGGCAAGTTTCGTGCTGATGTACATTACTGCATTTCTGATTGCTATTAAAATGATTGGCACTATACGTTTCGGATTGTGCTGATGGAACGTTCGCTTTTCAGTCTGTTCTGCTCAAATAAATCAAACAGTGAAAAAACAATAAATAATGAACTATTAGCTTAGATGAAAAGGAAACAAGTAGCACACAAAGAAATGGACATTCATGGTTTAAAGGGATAGTTCACCAAAAAATATGATAGAAAAAAAGGGTATTTAGATTCTATCTGAGATTTGAGATGTGATTTTATTTTTAAAAATGAATGCTAAAATTTTTGTTTTTGGCAATTCATAAAATGCGAACAGTCAACAGCTAACATCACTTTGAGAGTTAAAATTTATATAAAACTAAATAAATAACCGTGGCTTCTTCTTGTGAAGCAAAATGATTGGTTTGTGCAAGAATGTGAACATTATTTACAACATTATTACCTTTAAATCACAACCTCTGCAAAGGGTCCTGATTAATTTTGTTTTGCCAGTTTTTTTGTTTGTTTTGTGACTCTCAAAGTGATTTGCATTACATATTTGTATACTGTCAGGTCCATAAATATTTGGACATCAACACAATTCTAAAATGTTTGGCTCTATACACTAACAAACTGGATGTGAAATGAAGTGAACAAGACATGCTTTACTGCTGACTGTCAGCTTTTATTTGAGGGTATTTGCATTTACATCAGGTGAATGGTGTAGGAATTACAACAGTTTGCGTATGTGCCTCCCACTTGTTAAAGATACAAAAGTAATTAGACAATAATAATAATAAGAAATCAAACTTTCACTTTTTAATACTTGATTGCAAATCTTTTGCAGACAATTACAGCTTGATGGCTGGACTGCAAAGACATCACCAGACGTTAGGTTTTACATTTCTGGTGATGCTCTGCCAGCCCTCTACAGCAACTGTCTTCAGTTCCCGCTTGTTCTTGGGGCATTTTCTCTTCAGTTTTGTCTTCAGCAATTAAAATGCATACTCAATCGGATTCAGATCAGGTGATTGAATTTGCCACTACATAACATTCCACTTCTTTCCCATCAACAACTCTTTGGTTGATTTTGCAGTATGCTTTGGGACATTCTCCATCTGCACTGTGAAGCACCGCTTAATGAGTTTCTGAAGTATTTGGCTTAATATGAACAAAAATATTGCCCGAAACACTTCAGAATTCCTCCTGCTGCTTTTGTCAGTAGTCACATCATCAATAAATACAAGAGAACCAGTTCCATTGACAGCCACACATGCTCATGGATCACCATTCTTCACTGCTTAGAATCATGAGCAGCTCCTTTCCTTCTCTATATACTCTTCTCTTCCCATCACTCTGGTACAAGTTGATCTTAATCCCATCTGTCCATAGCATGTTGTTCCGCACTTTGAACGCTTTTTTAGAACTCTATTCTTCCTGTTTTTAGAGCTCACCAATGCTTTACATTATGTGGTGAACCCTCTATATTCACTCTGGTGTAGTCTTCTCTTGATTGTTTACTCTGACACACATACACCTACCTTCTGGAGAATGTTCTTGATCTGGCCAACTGTTTTGAAGGGTGTTTTCATCTCCAGGAAAAGTATTCTTTGGTCATCCACCACAGTTGTTTCTGTGGAATTCAGGGTCTTTTGGTGTTGCTAAGCTCATTGGTGCATTCTTTCTTTTTAAGAATATTCTAAATCGTTTTGGTCATGCCTAATGTTTTTGCAATCTCTCTGATGAGTTTTTGTGTTTTCAGTCTAATGATGGCTTGCTTGACTGAGTGACAGCTCTTTGGATCTCATCCTGAGAGTTGATAGTAACAGATTCCAAATGCAAATAACACACTTGAAATGAACTCTGGACCTTTTCTCTGCTCAATGTAATTAAGCCAATATTGTCCAATTACTTTTGGACCCTTAACAAGTGGGAGGCACATATGGAAACAGTTGTAATTCCTACACAGTTCACCTGATTTGGATGTAAATTCCCTCAAATTAAACAGTCTGCAGTTGAAGCACACCTTACTCGTTTCATTTCAAATCCATTGTGTTGGTGTATAGAGGCAAAAATGTTAGAATTGTGTCTGTGTCCAAATATTTATAGACCTAACTGTATATATGAGCAAGGGCCATGGTTTCATTTAAAGCAAAAAAATATATACCGATTAAAGTAATCCACCTATTGTATCTCGGTTGACCTGAGGGTAAGCAAATTAACAGCAAAAAATTTCTGGGTGAACTGTCTCTTTAAATATAAATATAACTTCGTACAAAATTCTAGGCACAAAAAGAAAATATTTTGTTCTTTTAAAAGTCTGTATGCAATGCCGATAACTGTTATCTGGTGGTTTATTAAAATTAAGGAGGTTTATTAGCTATTTTATAATGTTTTAATAGATAATTGTGTTATTTCTGATTTATTTAAGTAATTCTGGTATCAAGCAATCTCTCTGAGGGTCTGTGAGTCCGTAAACATGATTAACCCATACATGTAATTTCTCCTCAGTGATTAAAAATAATAGTAATTAAAAACGGGAAACTTGACAAGCGTCTGAAGCATGGCTTTGGCAAATCAAAGCTTTGTATGAGTACAGAATCTGGCTTCCACATGGTTTGGTAGCTTTAAAAAAAATAAAAAATACTAATGATAATTGAACCTCCGCTCACAGATTAACAGTCCCAAGAGTCCAGTTGAATTGGGTCTGTCTGACTCATAGTAACCTCGTTTGTATAAAAATAGAGACTATTCCTTTAAAACGGGGCCTAGTAACAATGTAGTGAAATTAAAACCTGGGTTTACTTTTTCTCGCTGGGATCTTCTCTGTTTTTTTTTTTTTCCTTTCCTCTTTTTCTGCATCATCTAAATGAATAGTGCTCCATATAAATATTTTTGGACATTTGTAACACATTTCCTCAGCTATTTCAAAACATATTTCAAATACATATTCATACTTTTTGTACAAAAACGGATGACGGATTGATATTGGGAGACAGTCACTGAAATTACTCGATGTTGTGTCTGTAATTTTCCACAAAACTGAACGCGTCCCATCTATATATGTAGTGGCACATAATGGCATTATTGGCACAAAGTTCAGGAGAGTCTTTTCTCCACACAAGCAGACGTATCGTGTCAGAGATCGTCTCCGCTCCAGCACACCCACATGTGCAGTAATACACGTATAGAATATATCAGCTCTAGGTATAGTATCTCTAAAATGAGCACATGTCTATGGAAAATAATTTGGGAGTGGTATCCATAGCACTGCATCAGTCTAGAAAAATAAACATCTTCAGTCCACTTCTAGTGTGATCCCACATTTGTACAAAACTGCCTGTTCGTCTCGCTTCCCGTCGCTGTAATTGCTTGTCGTTGTTGTTCTTGTGGTTTTGCTTTGCTTTATTGTGTGTGTGCGTGTATGTGTGTGTTCTCTTTAAGTCTTTTGTGTTTGATTCACAGGTTTTCCAATGAGATCCTGAAAGCAGAGAAGATTCCATTTTAGTTGGGAAATCATAGATGGTGTAACTTAGAGTAAATAAATATATAACTGGGTTTTTGTATCCAATTAATGTACATAAATAGCACGTTAAGTCTAGTTGAAAGTTACAAAAAATGTATTAACAGTTAAATAGCAAATACACACTGAAAATTATTCAGAGATGACTCCTTGGATTTACTCAATTTTTTTAACGTAAAGTGGTTGTAAACAATTTATCTGTGTTGAATTTAAACAAACAAATTAAGTTGAACATTAATAAACTTAATTTGTTTGTTTAAATTCAACACAGATAAATTGTTTGCATCAGTTCTGCATGCAACACTTTTTTCAGTGGATCTTTATTGTCATTCAATGGAACATATATTTATCAATGAAACAAGATACAAATTCTGTAAATATAATATATTACAGTTATATTTCAAATGTCTTAAAGGGCACCTATGATGAAAATTATCTTTCGTAAGCTTGTTCGGACAGAACTGTGTGTCAGTATAGTGTGTCCACAGTCATATTGGAGTGATAGAAACACAAGTCTTTTTTTTTTCTTCTTCCTGGCATTAAAATAGAAGCCAAATCCCTCACATTTCGAGGCCCACCGCAACATGATGTTGGAGTGCGTTTTTTCTGCCCACCGAATTGATTGGCAGCCTTGTATTAACATCTCTCTATAGTAACGTGTACAGTATAATCATATTCACAAGAAGGATTTGCACAAAGCAACTGGGATTAAAAAGATCTGTTCAGCTCGCTGTGATCAGCTGCACTTCGAGAATTACAAGTTTAAATTAATTTTAAATCGGTGCGTTTTTATAAAATACTGAAAAGATAGTAAAATTGCTGTGTAATTCATGACCACAGCCACATGTCAGTCCAATTATAAAAGAAGACACTTTGACCACTGTTCGAGGAAATCAGGTTTATTTGTTACATTATAACGGATGTCCATAAAGCAGTGTGTGTTAACATGTATCCTGTCACATTTTCTGTGCAAAAACAGTGCAAAGCTATGCGTGTGTCTATGTGTGTGCGCACATATAACGACATTGTGTGCGACTCATTGTTACAGAAAGGCTTGAAATAACTCTACAACAAATACATCAATTAACTATTGGGAAAGTTTTCACTCTTGTAAAGAAGATCTGCTTCGTTCTTGTCTGTCAATATACTGTTTATCTACATAAGACACAGCAGATGAAGACTACACCCATCAGAGCAATCTCTATTAGCTCTTACACATGCGTGGTAATGGTGAGTGGGGAGAACCAGCTTATTTGCATTAAATACATAGGCAACAAAAATAGCTCCAATGTCCTAACAGCTCAAATTCCCCAGATTTAAAAAGCTATAATAAATAATCTGAAGGGATTTTGAGCTGAAACTTTAAAGACACCTTCTGGAGACACAAAAGACTTCTCTTAAATCTTGAAAAAGGGGTAAAACAGGTGCTCTCTACAACAAATGGGTAAAACCTACAATGCATTATTAAAATTGCAAGTTGAATATGTTATCATTAATATGTAATGGATGCATGAAATCTCTTATTTAAGTAAAAATAAATGCTGTAATTGTTGTACATAGACATAAAATTACTATACATATATATTTTCTTAATCCCCCCCCAAAATTTTTACTTTAATCTATTTTACAAAATGTTTAAATATCAATATAATAGAATTCAGGGGGATAAGCCAAAAGTCCAATACCTAAACCTATTAAATATTTCAAGGACACCTATTTTACCCCTTTTTCAAGATCTTTCGTGTCTCCAGAGTGTGTCTGTAAACTTTCAGCTCAAAACACCCATCTGATTATTTACTATGCTGCCTGTGCATTTAATGCTAGTTCTCCGCGTACAGCGTTCCCATGTGCCATGTACATGAAGAAAGCAGATCTCACGTAACAATTGTGGTAAATACTACAGTAGAATTTTCCTAATGATTATTATTTGATGTATTTGTTGTAGAGTTGCAACAATGACTCACACACAATGTCATTACAAAGTTCACAGACACACAAACACACACATTGTGCGAGATTAACTTTGCACTGTTTTTGCATATAAATGTAACAGGTTACACGGTTATATTCACTGATGTATGGATATGCGTCATGTTAATGTACAAAATAAGCCTGATTTAACATTCACAAACCGAGATTAAAGCATTTTCTTTTTTAATTGTACTGACATGCGTCTGTGGTGTTGAAGAGGGTAAAATCAATGTAATTCATTAATATTTTTAAAAACGTTTTCAACTTGTAAAACTCATTCTTGATCACATTTGATGATGATTAATGATCACAGAGAGATTAACAGATCTTTTTATCCCGGTTGCTTTGTGCTCGTCCTGTCTTGTTGATATGATTATATGCGTTACTATGGAGACATGCAAGTATGTAGCTGTCAATCAATTCGGTGGGCAGGAAAACCGCACTTCCACGTCCCATTGCAGTGGCCATCAAAATGTGAGGGATTTGGGTCCTATTTTAACAACAAAAAAATAAAACAGAGATTTATTCTCTTTAAATAACCCCAATATGACTGTGGACACACCGTACCTACACACAGTTCTGTCCAAACAGTTTACAAAATATGGTTTCATCATAGGTGCCCTTTAAATAAAATAGAATAATAATTGTAAAAAGTAAATAAATTATATGTGCATTTGCAGGCTTTGCTAACTACATTGATGTTACTAACAATATTACTTAATGTAATACTCTGCTACCAATTTATTCCTTAATATATATATTGATAGTTTTAATGCAATTGTATTACAATTAGCATTCTCACATCACCATCTACTTCAGCTGTCGGCGTGTTTCCTGTTTCAGCAAAATTTTTGCAAAGATTTGAGCCACAGGTCTGCAACTCATTTCCATTCTATGACTTGTGAAATACCCCCTTTGAACCCTGAAGAGCTGTGATTTTCCAGTAAGTACACAAGCGCTGGGAAAACATGCCAGAAATGCACCATGCAGACTTCAGAACCGTATGAAATATAATACATACCAGGGCACAAATTGAAGACGTGGGCTCAACCCAAAGGTAGTAAAAGGGCCTCAACAGGAGATCTCGAACCATTTCTCGGACACAAAGGCCACAGGGATTAGCTGCCTTTCAGTGGGCGACGGTCTGGAATAGACAGACAGATCAGCTCTTCAATCCTGCAGATATAAGCACTTCTATCCCACTCCCTCATTCAACACTCCTTTTTTATGTCTTATACCACAAACAGAAGCGCCCACAGTTACATTTCCTCCTAAGCCTCTCATCTTGGCTTTGTATTCTCAAGCATACAGTATTAAATGAAGCAGCACTGAAATTATTCATACAGTTTAAAGCTCAGTCTTTTGTATAGGCGAGGGTAACGGAAGGACAAAAAAAACACGACTACACAATTGTCACAACATACTTATCTGAAAAATAATGACTCTCTGGCAGATTAAACTGGTTATTTCCAAAATGCCCATTAAAAGCGAAATTATTCTGTTATTAGAGAGATTGTAGCAGAGAAAAATGTGGTAAATGCTGTACTTTAAGAATGGTGATATTGTATGTTTTCAAACAAAGACTTATTTAAAACGCTATGAATGGAACAGAATGCAGGAGGTTTGAGAAAACAGCTTTTTATAAGGCAGACTATTATTAATTTGACAAGCTGTCATAAATACCTAAAAAAAAAGCTCATTAATAAAAAAACATGATGAAACTACCAGAAATCTGCCTGCATATGAATGGCAACAACAGTAGTGCATTAAAGAGAATTTATATTGAGATGCAACATTTTTTAAAAGGTTTTATTCTGGAACTACCAGAATTCTATAACTTCTAGAATAATGATCTTTCTGACTGTTCATATAGGACTAAATTAATGTTTGTTACTATATATTTACATTCAGGCGGCATGTACATTCAGATGGCTCAGTGGTTAGCACTGTAGACTCACACCAAGAAAGTTTGAGTCCCTGCTGGGCCAGATGACATTTCTGTGTGGAGTTTGCATGTTTTCCCCGTGTTCACGTGGGTTTCCTCCAGGTGCTCTGCTCTAAAGACATGTGCTATAAGCAAGGTGTCCGTGGGGTTTTAAAAATGTCTTAAATCTCAAAAATAGAATTTTAGGCCTTAAAAAGTCTTAAATTTACTGTATTATTGTGTTGTAGGTCTTAAATTTTTTAAACAGGTCTTCATTTTCCTTTGTTCGTGTATAGATACCCAATCTGGCCATTAACACCCATGCAATAACCAACAATCCATCTCAATAAAACTCTGATCTTTTTATTTAAAAATTTAATTTTTAACTCTATTTACTATACTGGTTTCATTAATTTCCTTTTGATAATATTTGTTCCCCATGTATTACCTGCAGAGGACACTGACCTTGACAGATTGTTGCGCATACATTTAGTTCATTAAAGTTTTTCAAACTTTTTAAACATTTGTCCATTTTTTTATTAAGTTTATGTTGAAAAAAGTGAATGTTTACAAATAGAGCTTGCTTGTTTTGACACAATGTTTTACATATTTTGCTAAGGATTATTTAAATATTAAAAAGGTGTTATTATTAAATCTTCATTGAATTATGAAATGTATTAAATTATAATATTTATTTTGAGAGTGCAAATATAATATTTTCCAACTGGGCCATTTGAACAGCTCCTTAGTGTTTAGCCCTGTATGTGTCTAAAATTTGCAACCCAGGCTCATTCTGAAAATGTAGTCCTGCGACGTTTCTGGAGACCGCGATTTATGTAGCCAGAGGTACGTATAGCTGCATTTCATTTTTTAAGTGAACTCTACGGGGCGGTGTGACACCGATCCTTTTCGCGCTCGCCGGCTGGCCGCTTACCTCCATGTAGAGGGCTTCAGTTAATTGGGTAAACAAAATTGGCCATAGAGTAATTGTGTTTTTGTATGGGAGAGTGTATGAGCACTGGGTTGCAGCTGGAAGGGCATCCACTGCGTAAAACATATGCAGGAATGGTGGTTCAATCTGCTGTGGCGACCCCTGATAAACAGGGGACTAAGCCGAAGGAAGATGAATGAATATTTACATTTAAAACTCCTATTAAGATTTTGGAATTATGCTTTGAATGTTTGTCACCATACCTTTTTTAAGTCATTACGCTAAAAATAATAATATAATATTATAGCCTATATTTGTGTACACGTTATTACATAAATTGTGTACCTCTCGTTGTCAGGGAAACGGAAAAGCAAACTTTTTTACTGTAGTTACCTTTGAATGACATGCCTGAAGTAAAATTTTGCTATCAGAAAGTGATGTTTTGTTAGCAGATAGTTGCTAGGCAACAGAAGCACACATATTTAAAGGCCCAGGAAAAAGAAGCAGATGCTAAAATGTTTGTGGTCACTTTGACCGTTTCAAGCATTCAAAGGAGAAATAGTCAACTCTTTTGTGTTCTGTAATTTAATAACATAACTCTGGCTGCCCTGGTAGTTCTGGTGTTTACATAGAAGTTTATAAGCCAGTTAGTGCCATGGAATAAAGGTAATGTGACCTTTTGTTCTAATTTTTTCTTGCAGATGATGAGTTTTTTTTTCATTCATCAATTTATTTCAGGCGTCACCACAGCGAAATGAACCGCCAACTTATCCAGCATATGTTTTACACATCGAATGTCCTTCCAGCTGCAACCCAGTACTGTGAAACACTCATACACTCTCCCATTCACAAACAGTGCACTTGTACTAAGGACAACTTAGTTTATTTAATTCACTTGTAGCGCATGTCTTTGGACTGTGAGGAAAACCAGAGCACACAGAGGAAACCAACACTAACACAAGGAGATCATGCAAACTCCATACAGAAACGCCAACTCAACCCAGCCAACCAGCGACCTTCTTGCTGTAAGGTGACAGTACTAACCACTAAGCCAATGTGTCGCCATAGTTTTTTTATTTTATTTTTTATCTAATAATAAATTTTTTGCTTTTTTTTTTAGAACTTCGGGTTTGTTTCTACAATTACAAGTTAACAATTGAATTCAGAAGATAATTCAGATGATTTTCTTCTCAGAATTGCATGTTATAAAAAGGTCCAAACTGTTCATCGAGTCTATTTATTTATGTAAATGTGTGTAAATATATATTTGTTCTGTTTTTATATTAATTTCTTTAATATTATTGTCTTTTATATGACTTATTTACAATACTTATTGTATACTAAAAGACTTATTCATAACTACTTTTAGTAGATATACTGTACGAGAGACTTGCCTTGTTTACAAAACAAATGGCTCTATTTAGATCTGCCATGTAAACCTTAAATGAAAGTTAAAAAGTTATAGTTTTTTTTTTTCCATGTTGTAAGTTTTTCATTACTGTTCTATCAAAATCAGTCTGCATAAATAGACAAATTATTTACAAAGTTTTGCACAAAAATAGCAAAAAATGTCAGCAGATTCTGCCTGGCCCTTGTTATAAGTTATATCAATTATGAGGTTATAGCAGTCATCTGAGAAAAAAAGTCAGAAGTGTAAAAAATAAAGTCAGAGCAGCAAGTAAGCTTAGGAACTCACAATCGCAAGTCATATTTCTGAGAAAAACATAATTATAAACACTTTATTCTGAATTTACATCTCTGAATTGAAGGCTAAAAGTTTATATCTTGTAATTCCAAGTTAGCGTACCCATAATTCTGAGTTTATATCTATGCATTCTGAGATGCTTTTTATTATTGTGTAATGTCCTCTGATCCACTATGGTCTGGTGTTTAAGATTTTGGAATGACTATTATTTCCGACAACAATAAACCTACTCTATTTTATAAGCGAGTAATCCCTTGTCAGCGTATAGACAGCACAGTCAGTGTTCAAATTGCTCAGCAACCTCAAGCCCAGTTGTTCCTCCTGAAAATACATCAGTGTTAGACTCTTGCCTGTTTCCGTTGTAGGAGGTCTTGTAGATTGGAGTGTGCTGGATCATCTCGTCCGTGTACACAGGTATGCCGGCCCGCACACACTCGTGCGAGCACTGTAAACTGTCGTTGTATGCGGTGAAGATGTCCACTTTACTGGACACGCGGGCCGGCGTGAAGTCGGTCAGATTCTGACAGCTTTCCTCCTGCTGGTTGATCTTTCTCTGATGGCTGCTGTGTCGGCCATTCCCGGACTGTGCACAACTACAAAAACACGCACCAAATTCACAAAGCCAACATAAAATCATACCTTGAACCGCTGTGTCTGTCCTACATTGAACATGGACTGGGGAGACAGACACAGACATATTTAAGCTGTGTTCCAAAACCTAGTGAGCCGTCTCGCTGCGGGTTTCATAAATAGGCAGCCTGACAGAAAGGGAGCTTCAGAAATGACTGATTGGAGTGCTCTACATAGACAGCATCTCTGTTCTACTGATTTCAGTGCAGCAGCTTGATGAGAAGGGCTGAATACATAATTTTCCATCTGTTAAAATAGTTTCTAATGTAAAACTTTATAACACATAAACCAAAAATGAGTTTTAATGATTCTTATTTGTATGAAAATTTCAGTTTGTTCGTTGGTAACACTTTATAATTACACACAATAAATCATCAGTTAAGCATTAGCAAATAGTAAATTCCTTATCAATTAAGCATTACCTCCACATTAACAGATGTTAGTAAGCAGTTTATAACTGTATAGTTTATAATGATCGTGTTTTCATAGTTTGTTAAATGTGCAGTAGGTGATCTGCCAAAATGCTAACCACTTAGCATATTATCTTTGGACAGCGGGGAGGGACTGTAATTCATAGCCACACCTCCTGAAATTGCCTTTAGTTTTTTGAAAAGCTTTAAAGAACATAAAAAAAACTTTATTATTATCATTGATACATTTTCCCCAATTATAAGAATGAACATTTCAATTTCCAGTAAAACGTCAACCCCTTCTTTTATTTGTTAACTATTTAAAAAAACAATTATTATTTTTTTTATTATTATTTATTCTTTTATATACCATGTTTTTTCAGGAACTGTTTTAACTGATATTATTTTCACCAGCCATGTTTTAGCGCACTCTGTGATTGCTCTTTCTGCAGATCTTAAAATGTGACAAGTAGAAGATATCTGAAGCTCACTGGGTTCGGGAACATTCTTTTGTGTACGAGTGTTCGATTTGTGCAATATGAGCTCACTCTTACAAACAAACTGCAAGAGAAGGACAGATTGAAAAAAAGATAAACAGACAGAAGGACAGGAATAGGGAGTGACAGATAGACAGACAGATAGACAGGAAAGTCTCTACTGAAAGAAAAGAATGTATCCTACCAGTTTTTAAGGACTAGAGTAGTGATCAAGGCTGCGACGATCATAATGAGGGACACAGTGATGGTGATGATCTGGTGAACAGCCAGACCTAAAAGAGAAAAATAATAATACTGTTATCGGTTACAGCATGTCACCTTTTCTTTTTGATCGTATTACAGTATGTATTTGATTGCAAAAACTCTAAAGCTGCATCTTAAAGGCCTAAAATGATCAGGTTTTTGGGGGTGTTCGTTTCAATTCTAATGAGGTTATCTGTTAACTAGTATGCTCTAAACAATTTTAAAATTCCTATCTAGAAAATCTTAATATTTGAAATCTTTAAGTTTAGCATTTCTGCCACAATGTTTTTATGACATCACATTATATTTCAGTTTCTCATCTCATCGTCTGAAGCATTCTGTTCCCTACAAGACACTAAAATTTACTTGCTGAGCTGAAACCAAGCAATTCACATGTAGGCCTACTGTAACAGAGCATTCATACCTAAGGTTCACCTAAACATTTGCAAATATGAAAAAATTGTAACCTTTAGCTGACACACTGTTGATAACATTGATGTGAGCAGCCCAAAAATGTTGGGTTGCTGATATTCATACATTGTATTGTACATTCACCTGCAAATAGCAAGATCAAAGGAAAAACACAAACACGCACACACACACACACACACACACACACACACACACACTTACACACACACACACCTGATCTGTTTATGGTTTCAAATTGACCCACATGCACAAAAGAACAACTCCTCACAGCAAAACCTTTCTAATTACAATATGTACAGAATGCATGCTGTCAGGTTATGTTTAATATTTTTGCTATTACCATTTTCGCAGACAACAGCAGTATATTTCATGAATTATGAATAGTTATTTTTCTATTACAACAGTGTATGTCAATATCTGAAACCTAAAAGAACTGTTATTAAAACCAACTGCAAGAGGATGTTTGTAGTACAGTATGAGCCGGTGCAGAATGATGATGCTTGTTGATTGAAAATGATGTAAATGTTGCATGAATTCTGACATAACCATTCACACTGTGGTCACACTGCAAAACATCAGATCTGTGTCGGATTTAATATGAATATGGAAGTAGTCCAAATTGGAACTGAAAAGATGAGAATACAGTATATGCAGTTTGTGCACTCTCAGAAATAACGCAAAATAACTCTCAGTACGCAAGCTGCCGCTTCTGTGGTACCTTTTCAAATGGTACTCATTTGTACTTAAAAGGTTCATATTGGTACTTCAAAAGTATAGATTAGTACCTAAAAAATTTAAGAGGATTACATTTGTACTTTTTAGGTACTCATATGTACCCTTGAGGTAATAATATGGATCTTTTAGGTACAAATTTGTACCTTTTGAAAAGGTACCACCCCAGTGACAAAACAAGATCTGAGTCACATATGGTGGGGGGGAATCAGATTTGAGCCACATTTGCCTTCAATGTGAGCATAGCCTAAAAGTCTAGAGACATAACAGTAGAGAGTGAACCAAACTGTATGTATTGGTCAAGTCAGGTCAGGTTGAGCTTTATTATTATTCTGCTACATGTGCGTATATAATGTGAAACAAAATGTGGTGTCTGACAGGATTATGGTGCAGCATAAACATAAACATAAACATAAATTGCAACAAATTGACATAAGAGCAATTATTAAACCTATACAAACTATATCTGACATACTGGAGCAGTATTGTATCTATACTAACTATTTACTATGCATTGAAAATATTTAGTTACCTATGCACATAATATATTTTTATGATGTTTTTGCGTTATCGCGCAAAGATGTTTTGTATGATTTCGCAGATGTTTTGCGAGGGAATGCAAAGATGTTCACTTCCTGTTCACTTCATACATGTCAACCCTCCCGCTTTTGCCAGGATTCTCCCTTATTTTACCACTCTATCCTGCTATCATCCTAAGTATTTTCCCATATTTCTCATAATTTTTTATTCTTAAAAGCAAGCTGAATTTAATATACAAATGTCGGGCGATGATCGACGCACAGCTTTAATAGAAAGCAAGTGAATGCAGACATTTTATATTAATTTCAGCATGCTTTCAAGAATAAAAATACATGAGAAATATGGGAAAACACTTAATGGTAGGATGATAGCAGGATAGAATGGTAAAATACAGAATAATCCTGGCAAAACGGGAGGGTTGACTTGCATGAAGTGAATAGGAAGTGTTTGTGGAAAAACAGTTTTGCGGAGGAACGCAAACATCTTTGCAATCCCCCGCAAAACATCTGTGAAATAATGCAAAACATATTTGCGAGGGAGCGCAAAAACAAACACACAAAAAAAAAGTATTTTCCTGTCACTGTTTTTTTTTTCTCCCACCCAGTTTTTTTTTTTCTCTTCCACTCATTTTTTTCCCCACCATCAGTTCTTTTCCGGATCTCCATATAAGACAGACTACTTTGTGTGAAACAGAAACAATATTGTGCCAGTTTACTCATTATTGTAATATGTTTCTAGTTGACACAAACTATACATATTTAAAACTGTACATATTTAAATTACATTGAATTTTTGGGAGGAGAAACAGACTCACATTGCTATTTAAACTTTCCTTTTATAGCATCAATAATGTAATTTAAAGGGCACCTTTTTTACCCCTTTTACACAATGTAAGATAAGCCTTTGGTGTCTTCAGAATGTGTCTGAAAAGTTTCAGCTCAAAATATCCATTAGAAAATGTAGCCTCCAGAACTTGCACATTTTAGTATTTAAATACATTTTAGTTGTTTTTGTAGCCTGTGGCTTTAAATCCAAATGACCTGCTTCTCCCCAAACACTGTTCCCACATGCCTGTCTGCTTCTCATCATGATACGTTGGATAAACAGCACAGTGACAGAGACAGACTTTGATAAAGCTGAAATCCAGCTCATTGGTCATAAATACCAAGTTTATTTCATGTATTTTTAGTGGAGTTTATTCAAGCCTTTCTGAAATGATGGGTCTCACATAAATGACCACACACATACTGTAAGTGAATTTACTGACACCATGTGGCCATGTTGATTATATTGGTTAAGAATTTCAAAGCGATTTTACTGTCTTTATTACAAACACGCTCTGTATAATAAACGTTTTAAACCTATGAAACATATGAAAATCACAGAGAGTTATTAAAATATTTTATTCTGTGGACATGACTACACATGTTATTTTGGATAAATGGTGCTTGTCAATCAATTCAGTGGGCGGGGAAAACCATACTCCTACGACACGTTGCAGTGGGCCTTAAAATCACTGGCATTTGTGTCCTATTTTAATGCCAGGAAATAAAAAAAAAGAGACTTGTTGGTTTTCTATCGCGCCACAATACTGTGAACACAATATACTGTACATAGAGAAATTTCTGTCCAAACAGCTTACAAAAGATGATTTTCATCATAGATGTCCTTTAATGAAAATATAGTCTGTTAATTAAACCTAAGCATTAATTTAGTTGTTCAAGCGTAAAATTAGATGAAAGGCTGTTTAAACTCAGTGCCATCAGGAGCAGCAGACGAGTGCTGAAAAAAACATTGAAAATGCTGCAGTAAAATAATTTTCCATACTTCTATATATTCCATAGACTTGCCATAGCAAAATGGAATGCAAGATGCAGTGCTTCTTATTCAGTCTGAGACCCACTTTATATCGTATCACAATCAGGCTGTAAAGATTATTTAAACAAACTACATCCTACATGTGGTGGGTTTATAATGGCATGTTCATTGGGTGTGCCTGAGCTGGCATATAGACCATTGACCTAAGCTATGACTTACAGCTCTTATATGATCAAAACACTACTGGCTATATTTAAATTAGAGGAGGTGCTACTCTGTAACACCTGTCATTATGTTTCAGCTGAATTTCTATCACACATCAAAAAGCATTTCATGGCACTTTAGGAGATTTTAACATGTACTGCTCTATCTAAGCAGCCATGGCTTTTTCAAAAGCATGTCTGCCATCGTTACACTGCATCAATTGCTCCATTTGACCATTTCTCAAAGTGTAGACCATGAAACAGCTTGACGGAAAGCAACAGGGAGAAGATGGTGAGCACACCAGCTGGCTAAAGGTCAGCAAACAACAATTAATGCAGAACAAGAACTCTCTGTTCCTGAATAAAAAACTATGAGCTGCGCAGTCTTTCTCAGTCCGTCACTCCCAAATGGATAGAAATGAAGCCCCGCGGGGAGCCACAGTTACAAAAGTTTTAGATATAAAGAGTGCCACGACTTCCATTTCTTGCTGAAGCTGATAAGAGTGAAGGAAGCAATTTTATGGATTTGCCCATCAATATTAAAGTGTTTGTGTGCGGGTCTGCGAGGAACTGCAGCTTCCATATTAAAGCGTGTGGCTTGGCACATTTGTGTGAGTGGTTCGTTTGCAGTGCATTAATTTATTCACAGGGTTATAACACCTGGTTCACCTGGCGCAGTAGTTTCACATGGGGATAAGCGTCATCTTCAATATGGAGCAGAGATTATGGCACTAATTTGCTATGTCAGTTCTTTTATATTGTTATCTCTCTACTCGCTTTGAGTTTTTATATATATAAAATTTTATATCTGTTTTTTTTTTTTTTTTTTGAAAGTCAGTTTTATACATACAGTAAATGCAGAATAAGTAAGCTTTCCATTAATGGTTATTTTGTTATTATAGGACAATATTAGGGTGACGTGGTGGCGCAGAAGGTAGTGCTGTCACCTCACAGCAAGAAGGTCGCTGGTTCGAGCCTCGGCTGGGTCAGTTGGCGTTTCTGTGTAGAGTTTGCATGTTCTCCCCGCGTTTTTATGGGTTTCCTCCAAGTGGGGTGCTCCGGTTTCCCCCACAATCCAAAGATATGCGGTACAGGTGAATTGGGTAGGCTAAATTGTCTACTGTGTATAAGTTTGAATGAGTGTGTTTAGATGTTTCCCAGAGATGGGTTGCGGCTGGAAGGGCATCCGCTGCATAAAACATATGCTGGATAAGTTGGCGGTTCATTCCGCTGTGGCAACCACAAAATAAAAAAAGGGAGTAAGCTGAAAAGACAATAAATGAATAAAAGGACAATATTAGCCA